AGCACTAAGAAAACAGAAAAATCGTCATAGAGCAGTCGATTAGAGGTCGAACACAACTTATCGAGAAATATGGCATAATTTCTCGAGGATTATCTATCGAGTTTCAAACAGTTGGCGAGACGATTTTCGGTGATAAGAGAATTATTGTATAATTTTTCTAATTTATCTTGGGTTCATTTTGTGACAATGAAATGTAGAAAGTTGGCCATTTTGGAGGAAATCTGTAAATAGAGAAGGCTTTGATCTGGAATTCAATATACTTTTTATTAGTAATATAGAAAGATAAATGTAGGCTCTTTAAATGGTTTATTTTTATTTATTTTGGTAGCAAGTGCAAGAAAGTTTAGCTGTGAAGAGTCTTTTTGGATTAGTCAATCTAAACTTTTCTCTGTATTTTTCTTGTCTAAGCTACTTGGAGAAACTTTTATGTGAATTTGCAGCTTTGCATGGGACCATTTTCTTACTGCTACTATACTCAAAGAACGAAAACTGTGCTAATAATTTAAATTTCTTGATTTTATGGTCATTTAAATAACCATCGTACTTTCTTTTATTTAAATTAGACTGATTTTCTAACTGGGTTTGTCTCTGCCATTAAATTCTTCTTTCTTCTGCCTTTAATTCGGACTTTTCCTAGTTTGGGCAGTGAAAGTCACATTTCAGACCAAAAAGAAAAAGAGACAATACTTATAACTAAATAAAAAAGAGAATACTTTTGGCATGCGAAATAAACAATGATGTTTAATTTGTGCAAGTTTTGGTGGGCAAAATCATTTTTTTGTGCTGGTGAAAGGCATCAACTATTTGGTGTGAAATACTATTCATTTTATGGCTCTAAGTTTTGGTGGATAAAACTACCTGTACCTATGCTGTTGAAAGATAATATATATATTTAGTGAATTAGTCAAAATACGCCCACAAAACTAACCATATACTTAATAAAATAATCAAAATACGTGCAATCTATACAGAAAATACTGTCATCAGAAAAGAAAAAGAAGCAGCTCATAGTCCAAGGGTGATGCTGGAAGATATCAAATTTCTATGCTGATTTTCTTCTTACCTAATCTAATTCTTGTCTCTACCATATTTGAAATCTCTTTAACGTAATGAGGTTTACTGAAGATTGGCTGGAAATTAGTGGCAGTTTAACTTTTGAAAAGATGTTCCCAAAGGGAAAACAGCCAAATATACCCCTCTGCTTCCCGATATTATCTACATTTAACTTCTGTTATACTATTTGGTCAAATTTATTCTTATTATTATATTATTCGGCGATATTTATCCGTACCATCATCAGCAGACTTTTAAAAATTACCCCTTAATGTTAGGTAATCCAAAATTTCACAATTTTCTTTTATTTAAATTAGTTATTATTTTCTTGCTCTACTATTTTCAGAAATTATTATTGATGTGATTGTTAAAGATACTAGACTATACAAATTATTCATGAATATTTTTTGTTATCAATGCACCAACTTCTCTTCTTGTGATAATGAATTTGGAATTAGTTTAAAAGTTTGGTGATGGTAGGGGTAAATTTGACCGAATAGCATAGCATATGTTAAATATATCCAAAATTAAAGCGGTATATTTGGGTCTTTTCCCCACGGTAAACCTTTGCTTTTGTTTTTTTTATAAAAAAAAAGTCTTGGGATGAGAAAAAAAAGTGAAAATGATGCTGAGCTTTCAATGAAACAACCTCATTGGATAGACAAATATCTTGAAATTGGAGGTTGTTTCAAGGAAATTACAATAACAATAGCATAGAAAAGCTTCACCACATATTCAGATTTCAGGCTAAGCAGTTCGAGGTTTTTGTTTGGGCCACTGTTTTTATTTGTACAAAAGCTACTCGGTATTAGACTTGAAAACCATTATTTTTTGTCTTTCCAAAATCTATAGAAAATTGACAAGTAATTCTTCATTTCGTTTTATATAATCATGTTCCATCGAAAACGTAATATGGTATTTTATACATAAGTTAAACTTATATTGTACTCGAGCAAAAATATTCTTAATGCCTACTCAGAGACGAATTCAAAATTGTAAGTTTATAGATTTTAAATTCTAAAATAGATTGTTTACTTAGGTTATATACACAGTAAGTAGATATCTTAGCGCAAATACAATGATCTTCAATATTGTCATTTCCATTCTTTTAAAAGAACCATTAAAGGGTTGGGATGGTTGAAATTGTTTTACTCTTAATTAATAGTCTCGAATTTGAGCTCCAAAAGTGAGCGTTGAATACCTCTCGATGAACCTACCTAGCACGAATTGAACTAATCGGGTAAGTGAATTTCAGATACCTAAAGTCTCAACCATCTTTTTTATACGTAAACCATTAAAGGGCAGTCCGGTGCACAAGACATTCCGTATTTACACAGAATCTGGGAAATGACCGTACATAAGAGGTGTGATATGGACAACCTATATTAATACAAACACTAATAGCTACTTTTATGGCTCGAATCCGTGAACTAAGGTTAGACAAAGACAATTTTGCCGATGCTTCAAACCTTTGAGTAAGTAAGCAATTCAAGGTAAAAAACTAAAAATAAAAATGTTGAGGGGGTAACGTGTACATAGGAGGTTCCCAATTTTGCATCTTTTTACAATTGAAAAGAGTATTATGTACGTTGAAGAGGAAGTGGGGCCTAATTCCAATTAAGCCCATGAAAGTTGGAATGTGAAATGGGGTACTGTCCTTTTCTTTGAATAGAGAGAGAGTTTTAATGGAGTGTTTTGACTAAAGAATTATGAAGTTATTATTTTTTTTGATTTCCATCCGGTGTTCGGTATTTATACTGGGGCCCGATTAAATCTTGATTTGCACCGGAAAGCCCCACATTATGGGAGTAAAGTGCTCCTTAACAAATACAACTCTATATTCAGGGGCTCAAACCCGAGATCTCCGGTTAAAGATGGAGGAGTACTTACCACTCCACCACAATCCTCGTTGGTACGAAGTTATTTTCATACACATGACAAAATAGGCTTTGGATCCCTTCAATATACAGTTGGATTTTTGCGCGTGAAATTTGACTCTACTTTTGGTTGCCTAGTCAGTCAATTGTTCATGTACTTTTCACCTTTTTTTAATATCAGAAAATATTTTGTATGAACCCAAAACTTTGAATATTTTACACAAATCTTGTAGTCAATGTGTTTCCTTATGAATATATATGCTTATGAATGTGCAAACATAATATGGAGATATTATACACTAAACAATAGTTTTCGGCTTCTGCTTCTAGAAACGTCAAGGTTGTCAATTGCTTTTATATGGTATTTTTTCCCATGTAAATCTACTAGCTCATTGAGAAATTAGGAAGACTGAACTATATTCGTTATAATAATAAATTCAAAGAATTAATTTATATCACACTACTATAACAATAAAATCATTACACTTTATCCATATATAGAGATTGAACTTTATACATTAGAATAATAAATTCACAAAATTAATTTTGTCACAATAAAGTAATTGTACTTATCTTTATAATATATTTACAAAATTAATCTTTATCAAACTAAAGTAACTGAATTTTATCTACTATAACAATAAAGTCATTAAACTTTACCTCCGATAACAATAAAGTTACAAAATTATTTGTTGTCACCTTAAAGTGATTGAATTCAACCCATTATAACAGTAAAGTCAATATTTTTGCTATTATAACAACAAAGTCATATTTTTTTTTATCATATTAAAATGAATGAACTTTCAAGGAAATGGAAAGATTGACAAGAATGTCACACGTTGTATTGGAGCGGAATGAATAAAATAGAATCTTGGATCCGGTGTTCTATGTGATAAGAATATGCCCACAGAACATCGAGGACATGATCATTAATAGGATGATGTAGATGTCGAGAATTAAGGTAGAAAGTTTATGGGCAGACTTGAGTTTTCCGTGTCCACATCACTAGTATTAGTGTTAGTCTTGTAGTTTCTTATTTTTAGATTTCTATTACTACCTATTATTTCTTTTGCTTCGACTTTCTTATACTATCTTGATATTAATAATTCTTGTTGCTAGTGCTTCTTTTTCCACCTGTCATTGAGCCGTAGAAATAATATCTCCACCTATCTTATCTGCGTAATATTCACACTCTCCTGGTGACCTAAGAAGTATTAGGGAGTGGTGATCAGACAGGACATGGCGCGACTTAGGATTACTGAGGACATGGCCCTTGATAGGGAATTATGGAGGTCGAGCATTAAGGTTGTAGGTTAGGGGAGAGTGTGAATATTTCTACAGCGCAATAGAGGGAGATTATCTAGTTAGGAGTTAGACTAGGAATGTCATTGGTCGTCTATTGATGCAGGGCTTTCCCTTCTAATTGTACTATACCAGCCATCTATTTCGTATTTCGTATTTTGTATCATGTATTTCATATTTCGTATCTCTTATATATTGTTGTTGTTATTGTTGTTATTTTTATTACGCATTTCTATGGTACTAATATATCATCTCCTATTGCTTTTTTGAGCCGAGGGTCTCCTGGAAACAGCCTCTCTACCCTTCGGGGTAGGGGTAAGGTCTGCGTACATATTACCCTCCCCAGACCCCACTTGTGGGATTATACTGGGTCGTTGTTGTTTGTTTGTATCTTATCTGCGTACACACTAACTTCTTCACACACTACATGTGAGATTACATTGTTATTGAATTATTAAATTACAATAAAGTCTTAAGAGTCGTTTGGTATAAGGTATAAGTAGATATAGTGCTGGTATAAAAATTTAATATCACATTAATAATTTAATTGATTAGCAAACCTGATATAAGTTATCCCGAGATTAAAATTAGTATCGGGATAACTTATACCTTGTAGGGTGGGGTAATTAATGCCGTGTTAACTTATACCTTCTTCTTGGAAATTATGCTATTATCATTTTTAATACAATATTACTAGGATAACTAATCCCAACACAATTTATGCCAAAGTATTCAAACCAAACGACCCTTAATGTAATAAACGTTGTTTTGGTGCAGTAACCAGATTGAAACTCAGAATTCAATTTTTCGCTAATTATGCCGGAGAGTGGAAACAGGATGGCGACGCCAGTGCTCCATTGCTGCATTATACTTCTGCTCTTGGCTTTGGCTCTCATCGTTGTAAAAATCCAATCTTTTTTCCCTTATGATTTGGGGTTTCCAAGTGTTAGTCCCAGATTTCTCTCTGGCGTCACTGATGTGTCTTAGTTGTTGATAAAACTAAAATCAAAATTATGCAAGATCAATGTTCCAATCCCAGAAAAAAGCTTAGGTAATTTCTTTCTATTTTAAGTCTTAATAGACAGGCTACTTTATATTTGTATGGGGACAATGCTAGTGTGTTTTATAGAAATTGTCCTTAAATTATCTACATTGTTGGAGCTCGAGAGGGTGGTTCCGATACCAAGATGCTTGTATGTTAATTTCAAATATGGTTGGGCAGTTTATGCATTTCCAATTTGTTACTTCAAAACATTGGTTGGTAGTTTTGTTTTCTTCTCAGGAAACTGTGAGATAGCTATGAGATGTTAGAGGCTGATCCAGTATATGAAAGTAGTGGATGCACCACTTAATATATAATGTGTTTTATGAAAATTGTCTTTGGATTATCTTACATTATTGGAGCTCGAGGTAGTTGTGCACGTGCACCTACTGCTTATATACTGGTTCCACAACCGAGACGTTTGTATGTTCGTTTCAAATGTCATTTAGCAGTTTATGCATTTTCAATTTGTTACCTTAAACACTTTAGTTACTCGGCTGTGGAACCATTTCTCTTACAAGCTGGTTCCACAACCGAGACGTTTGTATCTTCATTTCAAATGTCGTTTAGCAGTTTATGCATTTTCAATTTGTTACTTCAAACACTTCAGTTACTTGGCCATGTATCTTCCTTTGTGAAACAAATGTGGAAACAACCAACCATCCATTGTTACATTGTGAACGTGAATGGTCCGATGAGATGTCAATATCTAGTCTTCTCGTTGAATTCGATATTGATTAGAGTTGGATGAGATGGTTATATGAATTACAATCAAAATTTGCTAGATTGATATCATTCGTTTATGGAGTTTGTTTCAATAATTATCACACTTTCCTTTATCATTGACACAAATTTTCATTTTATGGCCTTGCCCTGCACGCATGCTGGCTTTGGATGCCTAATTATTTTCTTGCCGGGTTATCATTTGCTTTGAAAATTGAAACAGAATAATTTATTGTAAAGCTGAAAGCAATTATTGAGGAAAATTTTCTCGATCTGTTGGTTTTCTTGACAGTAGACTGTAGGACGTTCAAGGCTGATCTATTATACAAAGGATAGTGGTGCTAAACATTTTCTTTAAGTCATTACTCATTACACACATATATGCTGTTTGAGCCTAAGGCAGTGCTGCGTGCACCCATTGCTTATATTGTGACTCTACTTCTGAGACATTAATATGTTAATTTCAAATGTGGTATGGTAGTTTATGCATTTTCAACATGTTAATTTAACACATTTGTTGCTTCGTCGTGTACATTTATTGTTTAGATTTTAGATTAGCAGCACGTATAATAATGAGATGTCAATGTCTCGTTTTCTAGTTGAATCTAATATTGATTACAGTTCAATGAGATGGTTGTTTGAATTGTAATCAAATTTGCTAGAATGATATAATTCTTTTTATGAAACTTTGTTTCAATAATTGCACTTATTGTTAATGTAGACACACCGTTTCCTTTTTTGGAAATACGAGGGTGAATTTTTCCCTTGGTCCATAGTAAGACGGGTGACAACATTTCTGCTTTGCTGAAATGTAAGCTAATGAACAGCACATTGTTGGTAGTTGTTTTTCTAGTTATTCACATTTGCAAGGTTTTGAACTAACAATACTTGTCTACATTCAAGTGTTTCTTTACTATGAAATCCCATTTGTGAAGAGGAGCTTGGAGATGCTGAATATTAAATAGCATATCAACTTGGGACAAAGGAACTACTTTATCACCTTCAACGCTAATCAATTCTTGCTCGATTGTTTTGATTGAGTTTGATTCCCACTACACCTCGTGCTTGCCCTCCCCCCTCTTTGCATTTGTTAAAGAAAAATCACTTTGTCTTCTATTTATTGTTTGATTATTATTAATTGCTCATCTGCCTGAAAAAAGAGTAAAGGATGCACCACATCTCCTAAGCTGCTCAATGAACTAATTATTAATTGCATGTTCATAGCTCTTCGTGCGCTCTTGCCAAGCATATATGGGAACCACTTTCTCTTTCTGTCTCTTGTTTATCTTTGTATAACAAATTTTCTTGAGGAGAAAAAAGGGAACACAGAGAGGATACGCGGAGATAAACCTTTTCATTTATCTGCTGCTGTTTATCTTATTCGAGCGAGCATGCTTTTACCATTTCTCTTACAAGCTGGAATTTCATCATGTTATTGTATCCTTTTTATTGAAGAGATTGCAAGTATGACAAATGTATACTTACGTTGATAAGTTAATTTATAGTTATTTAATATTGGAGTGAAATAGACCTAGATAGAGTTGAATGGATATAAAGTATCCATACTTTCAAAATAGAAAAAAGAAGATATATAGTATTCATATAGTTGACCCCAACTAAATTGAGATCGAGGCAGTGGAAATAACTGTTTCAACTATTGTTGACTTTTTATCTTATTCGTCTGAGCACAATCCTTGCGGCTTTTAGTAAAAGGGGATAAAATACCGTTTCCTATACATGCGAGTATTCCCACATGTCCTTGTATCTCTTTCAATTAAGAGATTACAAGTGTCACAAATATCAACTAAGATTCATAAGTTAATTTGTGATTATTTAGAATTGGGATGAAATGTATCTGAATAGAATGGGGATATGGAGTATACATATGGCCGAATCTGGCTAATTTGGCATTGAAGCACAGTTGATTGATTGATTGTTGTTTTGATACAATATTTGTATATTCGGAAACACTATTAATTGCCATTTGCCAATACAGGCATTTCTGGTTAGCCATGGTTTGCCATGGAAGACATTGGATTCCATGCTCTAAAAAAATATTATTAGTTTTGTGGAGTAGTTAATTTATCTTCCTAAATCCTGTATTCAATATTCTTATTGCTTATGGAAATTTTCGTGGCAGTTTTACTTCCAAAAGCAATGCTGACATGTCGGCCATTGGTGATCTTGAAGATAAGATTCATGCAAAAGAAACGTTAAAGCAGCGAATCAGACAAAAAGAACAGTGCACCACCACCGACAACATCAATATATATAGTTTAGTTCGGATTCCTCGATGCTGCACTTCTTTGTGGCCTCTGGCGTTGGAGGTACTCTTTCTTTTTCTTTTCAGGTTTACTAGATTTCCATTCCCTTTATTGCTATTCCTCTTTCTCATTTTTTCCTCTTCAATTTTGCCTTACAATTGGTAAATCATCCTATGTTATGCCTGAAGGGTTCTTGTGATTTCTGATTCTTCTAGTTGATTATGTTTGTACTTCATTAACAAATCATTGGGATACTTGAAATTGCTAGTTGCCCTACCTGTGATTTGGCAGTTTCAGTAGTTTACTAGTGGCATGCTACCCCCTCATGCAAGGATTTTTTTTTCCAGAAAAGAACCTGTTTGAGCATGTTGAGTGTCATCATGCACTAGGCGAAGATGGGTGATTGCAGTATAGGACGAAGAAACAGAATCCACAAAACTTAATTAACTCTTGTAGAGTTTTCTTTCGTGCTATTGGTATCTCACAGAAGGGCTCAATTCGTTAAGTTCGGTGAAATCAGAGGTCTTTTATTAGTAAATTCATTGCACGAGGCTAGAAGGTCCATCCCCCCTACACTCTTGCCATTAATTGGATTCTCTTTATGTCCAAACTTCCATACTGAAGATTGAAATACATATTGAAAAAAGGAAACACATTATTTCAATTGAACTTCCTTTTCTTTTTACCGAACTTCTTATTTACCATATCTAAAGCAGGCCAAGCTGCAATGTTTATGAGCTAGTCCCTTCTTATTGTGTAGAAAACCTATCAATTATAGCATTTATTTGAGTATTCCTTGTATCTTAATGGTTAACCAAGTATATCCTTAAAGTAAAAGGATTCATCAACTGTTTCCTTGGTCTGTTCACTGATCCAAATTTAGTTGTTAGAACCTCGTAGTGGACAATTCAAATACCCTAAAGCAAAGATTTTATATATAATTAGTCGCTTGATGTCTCCTATATAAAAGTTGATTATATATTTTTGGCATCCTTCTAGCAGTTTTCCTTTTAGTTGGAGCCTCTGGAATCATCTCTATCCTCATCACTTCGGATTGCATTACATATTTCTAAGTTCTAAAAGAGATGATTTTATTAGTTTGAACTATAAGAAGATAGTTCAGATGTCGAGATTGACTTAACATAAATTGAGGAGGATGAGCGTTCACAGCATAAACTCTTAAACTTCTGTGCTTGAATATGAAATCAGTCTGGTCCTTGTCACTTCTGTCTTATTTTATCTTTACTCATGGCCAACTACTTATCTCAATGTTTAAAGATCTGATATACCTTTTGTGAGATACCAACTGAGGCCGGGATGATCATGCTTTCTTTTGAGAAAAGGGGGTAGTGAGAGGGAGCTTAATATGGGCTAACAATCTTGTACTTTGAACCCACAGACATCTTCGCTCTTAAAGGACGTGAGGAGTCTCATTGTAAGGTTTTCCTGAAGCCTCGACAGATCTTGGCAATTTTGGGCAGTAGCAAGCAACAAGTATTATCTCGACAATGGTAATCATAATTTTCAGAATTAGTAAAATTACAACTCACCATTCATCTCTTCTAGAAGTTATGACGGTGTATATTTAGTATTCTTTGTTTTGACTTGCACTCATCTTTATCAAGTGCTTCCTTTTAGCTCCACAATAGTTTTGACATCTTAAATTAAGCACTGGTATGTTTCTGTGCATTCTTTTGAGCGAGGGTCTTATCGGAAACAACCTCTCTACCTCACACAAGGTAGGAGTAAGGTCTGCACACACACTACCCTCCCTAAATCCCACTTGTGGGATTACACTGGTATGTTGTTGTTGTTGTTGTTGATGTTTCTGTTCATTTGCCATTTGTCTACTTTGAATCAAGCAGTGAAATTCATGCAGCCATGAGTGCAAGATTTGCTGCAGTGTGTCCTTAGTGGCTGTGGTACTACTTGTATTACTCTTATCTTGCGTGTTTTCCAGAATGGTGATCCTTTTCGGGTACACCAGAGTAGTTGTTCTTTATACTTGTATAAAGGTCAAGAGAGACTTACTAGTACTTAATCTAGCCTTATCCTGACACTGGAACTTCTTTCCTTACCAGCATAAATTTTTTATGAGTCCAACAAAAACGGCCTGCGTCGTTCTGTCTATCTTAGGTAAAGTTTCTGCGTCTTCTTTTGATTCTTTTCTTGCAAATTTGTTGTGTGATTTCTTTCTACTAATTAGCCATCCCTTAAACTGTTTGGCAGTTCTTTTCCTATACACTTTAAGGCCCGCTGATGACACGTCTATGGTCTTCATGGTAACTTCTGTCCTAATACCTTAGCTGAATATTCTTGAGCATTTCTATTGATTGATTTTAACCATTCTTGGTGGCATAATATTTTGAGGTAATGTTGTTAATTTTCACGTCTAGGGCTGCGTTTTTGTGCATGTAAGCATTATTATGGCATTTGTTATGATATATGAAATTTGTTCTACACGTCGAGCTCGAGGCAGAACAAGTAGTACATCCGTTAACCGCTTGATTGGTTGTGATACACTCCATCACTATGTGCCTTCATCAGAAGCTTTTCCAACCAGAAGAAGATTGCAGGAGCTGAGGCTCCAAGTTGCTCTTCTAGATCGTGAACTTGTTGAGTTTGGTATGTTTGCTATGGCTATCTGTTAAAACTTTTCATAGCAATACTTTTGCTGTCTCTATGTCCTTGGGATCACTATCACAGACTGACCTTTGAAGATTCTTTCAAGCAAATAAAAATGATCTCTTTTCTTATTATATGGTTGTTTCCATGTGCAGAAAACGTAACCTTAAGTGAGTTGCCTTCTGCTATTGTTTTCGGAATTCCTTCCATGAATGAAGAAGAGATAAATGCCTTACCTGTTCACAATTACAAAGGCATTGGTCTAGAGAGGTAAGTTACACGCATTCTAAGTTCATGCCTTTTCTTTTCAAGCCTTGGATTTTCTGGCATTCTTGTGCCCTGAAGAATGACGATTGAACAACTGAAGGTAGCCTGTGATTTAAATTGACAGAACTAGATGGTGACAGAATGGATAAATTGAAAATATGTAATGACATGGGATGAGTGAGTTGCAATTCTATATTTTGTTTTGCTTCATTTTCTTTTTGGTATTTTCTTTGTAGCAGGTAAGGGTGGGAAAAGAAATTGATGGAGAGCTATTGCTTGGATGCAAATTTGTCTTTCAACTGTGTTTGGCACTACAATGTGATGTTTAGTCTTCTGTGGGATTACATGGCTTGGTGCTATTTTGACCAAGGTCCTTTGGTTGAGGCCAGCATGCGCGTTGCTGTTTCTCAGTGGAGGCAGAGAAACATAGCATTGCTGCCATTGACCGATCCTTGGCCTTAGCTGTAGATGCTTCATTCAGAACTAGGCTAATCCTTGTTGAATCCCCATGCCTTTGTGCATCCTATCCTCTGTCTACTACGGTTTAGTCCACAAGTGGTATTTAACTTTTACCACTCTAGAGTCACAGGAAAATATTTAGTCATTTGGATGTCTTAATAGCACGCATTATATGTCAACACTTGCGTGTGTCTCCCAAGCCTGTCATCACTTGGAAATACTGGGGAAGTGCTACTTACTATAAGTGATTATGGAAACTAATATTTACTTTTGGTTAAAAAGTTATTGGCAAAAAGACATAGTTAAAAGAATTACTTTTCTTTTATTTGTGTTCTTGGTCTAGTTGAAGTGTTATTACATGGTAAGCTTATTTTGGTTTGACATAGTCAGGATCAAATTTAAAATAATGGAAATTTAAAGACTAAGTATGAACTCGAATAATGTTGAAGTACAACAGTAATATTCCTCCTGTTTGGATTCCGACTCAGTGATAAGGACACAGCTTGGAATCTGTGGATTGAGCACTGGTCACAAGTTCAAACCCATTTCTTTAATAGGAAGCTTGGTATTTAAGTGGGAACATGACAGAGAGTGGGATGATACTCCCCCGAGTTTCACATCCGTGGACCAACTATGGTTTGGCCAATTAACTCACAGGGGACTTATCAGTTATCCAAATAGAAAAAAGAAAAAGATACTAGTTCATTTGCTGAATTGCATAATTGTTAGAATGTAATGATCCTCCTTCATTTACTCTATTAAAATCCCGCATTCTATCATTATAGTTATTATAATTTACCTCAAACCTAGCCCCCAGGGATTTGGTCTAGTGGTAAGAGCGAAACACTGGTTAGGAACCAGTTGTAATTCGATTCCATATTGGTCTTTCTTGCAGTGAGGATGCACCACTGAAACAAGGCTCATTTTCTGCTGCCTCAGCTAAGGTACTTTCTTTCAGATGCTCAAAGGTTATGCCACAATTGGCTTAGCTATCCATTGTTTTTTTTTTCAGTTGCTTGTTGCCTTCTCTTTGTTGGATAACTATAAATTTGCTTGAGCAGAATAATTATCCGAATCCAGAAGCAGTGACATAAAAAGAAATTCTCCCCCAGCTGGATTTTATTAAGTTTCAAGAGGGGGAAGGGGGAAACAGCTAAAAAATCTCATGATAAATGTGTTTACAGCCCGTGAATGAGAATTTTAACAGTATAAATTTCTAGCTTCACGATATACTCCTATCTGGTCACATTAGATGAATCTTTCCTATGCTGTCTTCCTGTGCTTGCCTTTTCAAAGTCCTTCGTTCACTTGCTTAAAACATAAGATTTGGTCTTAATATTTTCAGTGTGCTCCTTTTAAATGAAGATTATTTATATACTCCCGTCTTAAATGAAGCAGGGATATTGGAGGATAGGTATAACAGAGGATCCCTCATGTGACGAATCGACATGTAATATTTGTTTCCAGCAAGTTATAAAGGGAGACCTTGTTCGTAGCTTGCCATGTTTACATCAGGTTTCTGCCTATTCTATCTGATTTTTTCTTCCTTCCCTCTGAAATACATGATGTACTTCCATTTTCCTAAATCACCTTATGGCAGAGATTGATCTGAATTAAAGCTCTATGTCATTGGTTGTGAATGAATAACTCAATGGAATTGACTGTAATTACCATTGCCTTGTCTTTGATGCTTGAATAATTACTAGAAATACAGTGATTGAGAAAACTGGGCTACTAGTCTCCTAGCAGCAGGGCAAATGTTTCCAAGTTCAGATCTTGGCACTTCCTCTAATTCTAAACCGCATTTTTTGGCAGTTTCATAGGAGATGCATTAACCCGTGGCTCGCAGTGAATGCTTCATGTCCAATCTGTAAATTTATGCTGGGGTCAGGAGCGCAGCAAAGCATCGAGAGTGTGATTAGTGATGATGAAATGGTCTGAGCACTTGAAAAACTTTAAGATATGTTTGAATTCTATTTCCAGTCTGCTTTTGAGAATAAAAGAATTCTTACAAGAATTCTCACTGCAGTTTTAATAACTTGTTGCTGCAGTATGTAAATAAGATAGAAGACTCTACTATGTGTTGCACTTTTCTCTTCGTTTCTAAGTTCTGTGACCCTGAGGGTTCTGTTACTGTGAAATGCATGTTAAAACTTGTCTTAGTAGTAGTAAACCATACTTTTTGCTAATTTTTCATGCTAATCATACACAAAATGTTGCATTAATTGCTTTTCGAGCAATCTCAGAGGAAATTGGTTTTAATTGTACTCTAGGTTTGAGATTGTACTCAGGAACAAGATTAAGCTTTTAAGCATGCAGTGTTTGTTGTCACTGTGAGTTCCGTGGTTATACTGGCACATTACTCTATGCCATTTGTAGCAGAGTCACATATGCTCAAGGGTGGTTGGTTGAACACCTTTAGCCGGAAAAAGTAGACTGTATATAGGGCAAATATTACTTTCTATATTCCTATATATTAAATCTTGAACATCTTTAGCAAAATTTCTGACTTCGTCAATGCATGCCATTGAATGTTTGTTGGCGCAAGAATGGTGGCCTGAGCAATGTTTCTACTTTTGAAGTTACGACTTTCTGCTTGGGAGGTCATGAGGGTGGGAAAATTGTCCCCTTTTTTTTTTTCCGCCTAGGAATGTATTCCCTCCGTTCCAGTTTATGTGAACCTAATTCCTTTTTGATCCGTTCCAAAAAGAATGACCTCTTTCTAAATTAAAAATAATTTAGCTTAAACTTCAAATTCTACCTTTAATGAGAATTTTTTATAACCACACAAATACTCTAGACCTCTTTTTGACTTGTTTAGGACCACAAATTCAAAAAGTCTTCATTTTTTTTTAAATTTCGTGCCCAGTCAAACAGGTTCACATAAATTGGAATAGAGGGAGTAATAATTATGTTCACCAGTCAAAACCTCACATTTGTAGAAGATAAAAGTAGCAGAAATAAGGATGCGTAAATGGATGTATGGGCATAGTAATAAAGATAAAATTAGGAATAAAGATATATGGCACAAGGTGGAAGTTGCCTTCGCGACAGACAAGATGGGAGAAGCAAGGTTGAGATAGTTCGTGCATGTGAAGAGGAGGAGCAGAAATACATTGGAGGTGCGAGAGGTTTTGCAATGATAGATCCAAGGAGAGGTAGAGGTAGAGGTAGACCGACGAAGAATTGGAGAGAGGTGATTAGATAGGACATGACACATCTTCGGTTCACCAATGACATCCCTAGATAGGAGAGCATGAATGTCGAGGATTAGGGTAGAAGATTCGTAGGTAATTGAGCGATTTCTCTTTTTTCTATGCGAGAACATGGTTCTAGTTTAGAGAACCTAGTGTGCTCCCTCTTCTCGTTTATCAGTAATATTATTATTATTCTATTATTATCTTATTCTTCAGATTTATTACCACTGTTGTTTCTTTTACTGTAGTTATCTTTACTATTTTGGTTTGAAAATATTTTTTTTTGTTATGAGTCTATCGGAAATAACCACCCTACTTCATACAAGGTACTTGCGGGAATATATTGAGTATGTTACCATTGTTGTTATTTGAATATATTAATTATGAGGCCTTGTGCATTATCTAGGTTCTGCGTGGCAAACCATGAAATAATTCAAGATAGTAAATTAGCCTTCCATAAAAGAACATGATCTGTATAATAGAGCCAAGACTGCTTGCAGTTGCCGTCATTCATGACGAAACAAGTTTTTTGGACATAGTCTGCATACCCAAATGATTGAACAACATTTCATCCTATAAACTAATGTTATCTCTCAACACGTTGTTTGTTTTCTTCTTTTAGATATAACTTTTGATAGTTTCCAATCTTGAATATGACAGCTCCGATCACATCCATGAATATATAATTTCAAATGATTAATGATTCGGTGAGACGAGTATGCTGATGGCGAATTGCAGGTCTTATGCCTTGGATACATATATAAGATATCGAGTGCAGACTTGGATTCAAAATGGATAATATCACGCTAAGTTAATATTATTTTCGGACTGGTGGAGAGGTGAGGAGTCGGGGCAACCCCTTTGAGAAATCTGTAAACGGTTTTTGCCCCAGCTTATTGGCTAATATGTTACCTTATAAAATAAATAACCCAGTACATAAAGTATCCCGCGTTCAAGTAGGGTACATGGGGCCGTACCCCAAGGGTGATGTAGACAGTCTACTAAGGCTTGCTGCTTCCACGACTCGAACCCGTGACCTATATAGGTCATATTGAGATAACTTTACTGTTTTCTCCAAGATTTCCCTTCCAAGTGCGGCTCAACACTACTAGAAAACTGCCTAAAACCGTCCAGAAATACCGACCGAAGTCGGTCGAAAAACTGAAAAAGCCGACCGATTTCGGTCGGTTTTATTAAAAATATAAAATTACCGATCAAAGTCGGTAGTTTTTCAAAAATGACTTCCTGAAATAACCACTGATTTCGGTCGATTTTTTGAATATTAATTTTAATTTATTTTATATGAAAATTCGACCGATTTCAATCGGTTTCTTAAAAAATAAATTTCGCAGGATGCTAAAATAGTTTTTTGAATTTTTGTGAAAAAAAATAGACTGAAGTCGGTCTATTTCGTAAAAAAACCGGTCGGTTTTTCAGTCGATTATTAAAGGTCGTTTGGTNATATATATATGGTAATTATTTCCCTTTTTACTCTTAATAAGATGATTTCTAGGACAGAAATTTCTATGATTTATTTTAAATTACAAGTTTCAAAAGTCTTTCTTTATTTCATAAACTCCATGTCTAATCAAACATTTTTATATAAATTGGGACGAAGAGAGTATAATTTATATAAAAATAAATAAATAAGTTAGATTATAAGATATAATTACGTGACTAACTAATGTATAGAGAAATATAATTCAGTAAAAACATAAAATAAGATTGACATAAAACTATTTTGGTTATATTAATTACCGGAAGAAATTGAGTTATTTAAAAATTAATATATGACAATAGAGAAATAAATTTATCAACAATAAGAAATAATTATATAAATAATATATTGCAATATATAGAGAAATAAGGCCTAAAGTAAGTGCTTCACTTGCTTTAGGGTCCAGCCGCCCCTGTCCCTTTCACTTATATGTTAAACATCATAGAAGTTTATGTTCACCACACTGGCACTGCTATATTATTTAGTTTTCTGGGCAGATGTTACTTAATATAATTAACAATATCCATTAAGTAGTCAACTCCTAAGAAGCCAGCCAGGCCAATCTGCAGTTTTGTACAAACATTTTTGTACTACAATCTCATCCAAAGTCAAATTTGTACTGCAAAAATACTATCATCAAAATTCTCAGTCTAATTATACCTTTTCTTCTTATAGAAGATTAACTAACATAACTAACTTCATAGCACAACACAATAACAAGAAAATGATCATGGCTTCTATCAACAAGTCAACTACTTTGTTATTACCACTAGCTTTGTTCTTGTTCTTGCAATTTTTCACTATCAATGGTCATGGTGGTGCTGATCATGATTCAGATAATGAGAATACAAATTTGCGCGCAAAGGGATTGATTCTTGTTAAAGTTTATTGCTTGATCATAATGTTTGTGAGCACATTTGCTGGTGGAGTTTCGCCATATTTTTATCGATGGAACGAGAGTTTTCTATTGTTAGGGACTCAATTTGCTGGTGGTGTTTTTTTAGGGACTTCTTTGATGCATTTCTTGAGTGATTCTGCTGCAAAGTTTGCTGTACTTACTGAGAAAGAGTACCCCTTTTCCTTCATGTTGGCTTCTGCAGGTTACCTTCTTTTACTTTTTTTTTTAAACTAAAAATAGAAATTATATAGCAACAACAAGTTGGGGACGGCTATATGTCACTTCTACATTTAAGCTTAACTTATATTGTCGCCATACCAAATAAAATAAAAGTGAAAAATAACATTAGAAGTTCTCTAACACTAAAATCTATTCTTAATTAGTCGATATCACATATATGGATCTTATTCTTCCATCATAATCTATCTTTACCTAAGTCTGTATTGACTACAAGAATGAGAGACTTGCAACTAGATAAAATATGTGAATTTTTTTTCATTATGTAATTCTAATAATAAACTGCATTTTTTTGGCAGGCTACCTTCTCACCATGTTTAGTGACTGCATTATCATGTTTGTGACAAAGGGTCATGAATCAAGTGAGGCCAAAGTTGAAGTAGAAGAAGGAAGGTCAGGTAATAATACTGAGGAGGGACATGGGGAAGCAAATCCTTTTCTCAAGACAACTTCACTTGGGGACACAATACTTCTCATTCTTGCATTGTGTTTTCACTCTATTTTTGAAGGCATTGCTGTTGGAGTATCAGGTAATTAATTAAATAAACTACTCCTACTAGTATATGAATTTAGGGAATTGAAATTTTTTGACTTTCATGCATTGTATGGAGGGAGTATTTCTACGGGGTCACCCTACAATAACAACATATCCAATATTATTCGATATATTGAGGTCTGGGAAGGGTAGTGTGTACACATAACTTACACCTACCTTGTAAGGATAGAGAAGCTCTTTCCAATAGATCTTCAGCCCAGGAAAGCATAAGCACCACATTAATGGAAATATAGACAAGAATGAACATTACCAAAAAGCCATACAAAAGCAGAATAAAAATAGCAAGATAGTAAGGTAATCCGCAATGAAAGAAAACAACGGTTAGTCATACAAACTTACTAACAGCAGAAAGCGAAACTGCGTGTCAGTACTACTGTTATGTACACTCTATACTACTTACTATACTACTCTAATCCTCAAACTCCATATTTTTCTATCAAGAGTCATGTCCTCGGTCAACTGGAGCTATGCCATGTCTTGCCATTTTAATTTAATCAGATATAGCAAATTATTTCTTTAACCTAATCTCATGGTGCATATATTTTATATACTATCAGTGCACAAAATATATAATACTCATAAATAAACTTAATTTTACTTGGAAGTAGACCTATTACCAAGATTATTGCCAGGTAAGCTCAATTCTCTAACTATAGCTCTTTTGATTGTGAATAAAATATGGTGTAAATATGTTAGTTGTCTTGTCCTGCATGTGTAACAAATTTCTTGGATATTCTAGGTTAATATTTATTCACAACAATAATATTTATCAGGCT